GAGAACAAGTGATCAATGTAATCAATTCAGAAAAAAACCCTCAGGATTTAGTTTAGATAGCCAGTGTGCCTCCTTCTTACAGATATGGTGAAAACAAGAATATCAATGATAACGTGATTTATGCCTTCGATTCCACGAAGAAAATGACGAAATCCTTGGGAAACATACTGCACACAGCAAGAACTTCAAATGTACTGAAAAAGGTAGATGTTTGAGACTAAAATGAGTCATCCAATCCGAGAAGCTGTAATAGGTCGAAAATCTTTATCAGTTTTTTTCTAAAACTATGGCTGTCACCAGACGACAGAATTTCAGTGGGTAAACGTTGTAACCACCTCGCACCACGGTAGAGCACAAAATTATATAATTGAGTCTGATTTTTCTTTTGAATCCGAGGGTAATGTAAGTTGAATCCGCCTAATTCTTTCGTGACTTGGCCTGAACACCCAATACTTACTTGGAGACAGATTAGTCTCCATGCGTAGAAGGCGAAAGCAAAAAACAAGGTCCGCAATTGTCCGTCTGTATCTAAGCGTCTTTAAGCCTAATTGTCTTAAACGTTCGTATAACTTGGCATTGAGTTGTGACATTGGAAAGCACGATGGAACAGCAGCCTTGTAAACAACTTCTGTACCTTTTCTAGCTTGATGATTTGCTTTTTACGTGTGGGATTCCAAATCTGAGAACAATACTCAAGATGGCAGTACATATGTCCTCTAAAGGCGTACCAGACCAGGCGTGTTTTTGCATGTTTTATCGTTCACTAAGTCATATAATCACGTGTTGTTCTGTTTGTTCTTATTAGGTTGCCCGGAAAGTTCTCAGCGGTTTTGAGTGCTTCATTTTGAAACGATCATAACTTTCTTAATACTCATCGGATTCAGATCACAGTCGATAAATCCCATCAAAGAAAAAACTGGGTGGTCGAGAATCCACGAAGGCTTTTTTGCCTGGTCCTGATTGATGAAGTATTTTCCAGCAAGGAAGTTCTGAAAATGTTTGAAAAGGTGATAGTCGGTTGGTGAAAGGTCTGGAGAATATGGCGGTTGAGGTAGAACTTCAACCCCCAATTCGTTCAATTTATGGATAGTGATTTGTGAAACGTGTGGGCGGGCGTTGTCATGCAAAGGAATCGGACCCTTTCTTTTGATAAGTGTTGGCTGCATCTGACAAAATTTTCGGTACATTTCGTCGATTTCTTCACAGTAGGACTCTGCTGTGATGGTTTGGCCTGGTGATAAAAAGTTATAGTGGATCACACCAGCCGATGACCACCACACTTTTTCGTGAGGATTCGGCTTTGGAAATTGCCTCGGTGGTTCGTCGGCATCCACCACTGTTCCGAAGCGTTCTCACGTTATCCATCCATAGATCCAATTTCACCATCTAAAGTTATATGATTCGGGTCGTCCAAACGGGTCGTTTCTGTGCGTCAATAAGCATTGAAAAGAGACCGTCGAGACTGCCAAATTATCTGCCGTCACTCAAATTGTGAAGCAGCTACTTTGAGTTTTTTCACCTTCCAATTTGTCGTTTCAAGACCATGCGCAACAGTTGGATTTGGCCAAGCTCTAGCTTTTCCTGCAGTCTCTCGCAACTGATTTGGGGATGGGTCAGCATCACAAAAGCCTCGAATCCTAGTCGGATTGTGTGATTTCATCCCTGAAGGCTGAAATTCGAGAGCGAAATTTGTCGAACCATTGTCGCACGGTGCTTTCTCCAACACTATTGGGCACCCACACCTGGTTATTTGTCGAGCTGTCTTGGACGGCGGATGAACAAAATTTGTAGTAAGAAAAATATCGTCCGAAGTTGCTCTTTTGCATGCTTCAAAAAGTTCAGGGAAAAGGGGGTTTATCAAGCAGTGGTGAAACGGCAATTATAAGATAGCGCAAAAAATTTTCTTCAGGACGTTCTACAGACTCAAGGGAGAATGAAGTTTTCAATCAGCCAATGAAATCGTAATCAAAAAATAGTAACACAAAACCTGAGAACATAACACATAAACGCTGAGAAACTTTCCGGACAACCTAAACCAACCGATAATGAATCATATCAGAATATTATAACCGGCACCTGGGTCCTTATAAACTCTATGATAAGCAGCGCATATCAGAAAATTGTGTTACTTGCCCACACGGGAAGATTGTGACTGTGCACAATTGGGGGTAATTTATGAAATCGTGTTGGGCATGTAACTCTAACATAATTGGCAAACAGAAGCTTCTTTGGCCATATCGAATAGAGAACACCTTGCTAGCAAAGACGCGGTAGCCTTTACAACTGTACTCCGGTGCATAAGTTGTGGAACATAAACGGTTCGCGCAGCTCGAATAAAGTCACTAAGTGCTGGCAAATGAATAACATAAATGGCAAATGAGACAAGACCCTCCATCTCCCGGCCAGAAAGCGTTTGGAAGCATTCTGGTTATTTACAGGACACACCCTCCGATAACCCCACACCCCGCTCCTGCTTCATCACACCACATGGCCTACTACGTTTATGCGCCACTGCGGACTGTAGAATCACAGAGGGTGAACGTACTCACAATTGATATGTCGTTATCCGGAAAAACGTAGTATTTTTCCATTTCTCCTAGTAACAGCAGCTCCTAGTGTGGCATGCGGACCCCGCTTAAAACCTGTCAACAACATTGGTGCCTAGGTTTCTTGCGACGTTGGCTGTCTTCTCCAAGTGTTCTATGACACGAAGGTCGAACCGCTAGAGTAGAGGGGGGGCAAGTGACGAGGTGCTTGGTGGGGTAGGTTGCAAATCTAATACTTGAAACACGTTCAGGCCTCTGAAGACGACGATTGGTCGAAACGTTAGGCCTTTTGAATAAATGGTTCCACCTAACAGCCTCCTAAGGCACAATAATATTGAAACAAGTACATCTGGTAGTTCCGCGAGCCACAGCTTCCTCAACCTGAGTTCACATGGCATCCAGAGGCAGTTTCGTCTTCAAAGCTGTAGGGCTCCCCTTCGAAGTATTGCAGCCGTGTGAGTCTGTTTGAAATTTAGGAACGTAGTTCCCACGCAGCTCGTTTATTTCGACCTCAGCAGGCTTTCATTCTCAGCCAGGATGGTGGAAGAAATAAGTTTGAAGGAGGGATTTGGTGTTAATGGCGCATGCCTCAGTTCTTGTCAGTAAATGAAGAGATAGGGGACAAATGAGTGGCACTAGTAGGAGAGAAGCTCTGAGTAATAATGCCTACATAACTGATCACATCACTTCAGATTAGGGGCGAGTTATGTGTTCAGAAGTATGACAGAACTCACCTGCCAACCAATTAATTCACGACAGTTGTATAGTAAGTTTAATATCGCTCAGAGAGTATTCAAAGCACAACCGTTGAACCGTGAAACAATCAAATAATAGTGATACATAAAAGAGGAAGTTCCTATACATAACAAATTCGAAGCTCAGTAATTATCACAGATACTGGATACTGTCAACAGCACAGCTATAAGAATTGTATTAGATTTTGGCAGTATTATCATTCATGACTCTTTTCCGGGAAAATTTGAACACACTTCTTATCAGAATTCGCATGTGGGGGAAGTTTGCCTGGAAAGGTTGTACCCGGAGCAATGTGACCCTTGAAATTTGCTTACGCCCGAATTGACATTTTGATATTCATTTCGAATCGTAGGTTCGTTAACGATAAGTACTGGCGTTACATGTTTCTTTACATTTCCTATATGACAACAGTAGCGCTAAAGCAAGGTACCAAAGTACTTGATCACAGCCAAATCTGAGGCGCTGAGGATGTGGGCGGAGCCCATGCGAGCTCCTCCCACACCTCAGCTCCTCAATGACTTAGCGGCAGAGTTCTTTCACAGGT